GGTGTTCCTTCACAAGGTCAGCATTGATGGAAGGTAAGGAATCTCCCTCAACTGGGCCTCCCTGTCTCGTAATGGGCAAGGGTGTCCCATAGGACTGGTGAAAAAGCAATGCAAAGTACCCATTTAGCAAGTTGGCTTTTTCCTGGGCATCAGTTGTCAGTTGTCCCATCTGGTTTTGCAGGGGTCCAATGCTGCTCTTGCTTTTTCTCCAGCTCCCCACATATCTAAAAAAGGACTTTTTATTGTCCTTGATATTTGTAGCTAGTTGGAGTTCCATCGCAGCCTTGGCTTTCCTAGTTCACTCCCTGCAGCTCCGGACCAGTGCAGAGTATTCCTCCTTGGAGGTGGATCCAGTCCTCCATCCTTTGTAGGTCTTTCTTTTGAGATGCAGGAGGTCCACTAGTTCCCTGGAGAGCCAAAGGGGCTGCTGTGCCCTTTTGCTGCCTTTCCTCCAAGACAGGATAGTTTTTGCTTGCGTATCCAGGATTGCTCCCTTGAGGAGCAACCACTCATCCTGAACTCTCCTCCCCTTCGGGTTGTGGCCCTTAAGGGCCTTACTAACAAGCCTCCTTAGCTTGTTGAAGTCAGCTTCCCTGAAGTCAAGGACTTCTGTATTGCTGACTGACTTGCCAGCTTTACAGAGGATGGTGAAGGTGATCAGCTCATGGTCACTGTCACCCAGCTTCCCTTTGATTGTTAGGTCACTGATTAGGTCATCCTCTGTTGCCAGCACCAGGTCGAGCAGTTCCTAAAAACACATTTGTGATTGCACAACTTACTTTAAGCCGTTTGATCATAGATCGGGTCCCACTTGTATACGTGTTAGCTGGTGCAGGGAGCTGCAATGGAAATGTGATTCAAGAAAGGCAGGGTGGGGGAAGGGATGGGAGGAATTTGTGAAGGAAGAGAAGCTAGCAGGCCCACAGGATGGGGTTGTCTGTCCAGGAGTGGTAGGGGGTCACAGGGCTAAAAATAGGTTGGTTGGGGGAGATGGGAGGGGTTAGAAAATTTTCAGCCCTGGGGTAAGGGCAAGCAGCTGGGCTTTTCCAGTCCTGTGGTTAAACTTGAAGTGTATAGACATATTTGGGTTACATCAGGCACAGGTTAGCCCAACCTATTTAGCGCACCTCCTCAGATTAACTAATTTCTATTGGGCCAGCCATTTGCTGCCCAATCTAAACTCCCTGAGTTTATGTACAGTTCAGCACTTAGATTAATCTAAGCCTAGTTAAGATAGCATCTACATATACCTATTTTTTTCATTCTATTAGGTAATGATTCCGACTAACATGGTTTCACAGTCCAGTGTGACCAGATTCAAAACAGGGTTAAAAATTATTCTTGATCGCAGTGGAGAACAAGACTCAAGTACATTTTCAATAGCTAAAATAACAGTAATAATACTACTTTGTATGGAAACAGGCATATCACCATGTTTAAAATATTTCTTAAACCCTGCATGCTATCAAAACCTGTTTTAATTGTGATATGTGTGTTGCTACCCCCTACACAAGCTATATAGAGAGAGCATTAGTACATGGATGCATGCTTCATTTGGTACTGTGTTCCAGAAACTCAGCATAGAAACTAAGTTTGTGATTTTTCAAAGCCCCCTAATTAATTTACATTAATGGGTTTCGGTATCCAAATTTCCTAAGGACTCTGAAAATCTTAGCTCTAAAGAACAATTAAGTCTAGCATGATGGAACAGGGTAAAACAATTTCTTTTTTCTTTATAGATTAGCTGTATGATAGTTGCTTCTTATATTCTTTAGAAAGTGTTCAGGGCTACAGCTTGGTAGGAATGTAAAGGAAATACTGGATGGTAAAATTTCAAAAATTCCCCTTAATTTAAGCTTCAAAATACTTAACGCAATGTTATAATTGCTACTTTACTCACACATGTTCTGTGTGTACATCTATTGCACATGCGATAAAAAGGATTTCTTCTACTTTAATGTATTCATGTTAACACATAAAAAGATCCATTTTAAAGGCCCTGAAAAAATAAGTGACAGCTTCAACTATAACTGTCACGAACAAGTGGATAGAAATTCCCACGTGCCATTAATGGCAGGGTACTTCTTTGTTTTGCCTTCAAACACTTCACAAACAACCTGCTCAAGGTGGGTGGCAAACTGCTATTTTATACCCTATGGATAAATGTCACAAAGGATGCTACTAGCTTAGCCAAGCAAAGATCTCCAAAAGAGCTGAAAGAGAATGCCAATAATGCTCATCTTTTGAGCTAGTTTAAGTCTTGATTTTGTCTTTTATATTGTCATTTTAGAAGAAAAAAGCAAGTAGCAGGTCTTTTTCACAGTAGAGTAACTTGCCTGTCTCAAAAAAGCTCTACTTTGAACATTTAAAACCCTCAAATCATTAAAGTGCAGCACATTACTCAATTCCAATCAAAATCACTTTCATCCACAAAGAAGTGGCATTCTTAAAGCTTTAGTTTCTCTACAATTATTTACATAAAATGGCACTACTCAAAGGGTTATATGCTACTCCTGATGAGTGATGGTAGTAGAAACTGGTCCCCAGGCCATTTCCTTTTCATCCAAATTGATGTCTTCAACTTCTTACTAGTAGCCATGAACAGAGATCATGCAATAAACTTAAAAGGTACCCAGCTAAATGTATGCCCAATCTTTATGTTTGAATTAACTAGGAAAGAGCATGTAAAAAGCCAAACATTAAAAAAAAATGTTATTTTTTTAATTAAATGAGTTAGAAGCCCATTGTAGGGTATCATAAAATCATACCGACTTTAAAGAGAAGATTGACTTTATCGGGTAATATTCCTTTTAGTTATATCAGCATAACTCCACTGAATTACATGTTGAAGTCAATGGACTTGTGTTGTTGTGAAACACGTAAGTCACATCAGGATCTGAACTGATATCCCTTTATCAGTTAGTGTCACAACTGAAATTGAGTAAAGGGCCAGAAATTAAACTAGCAGCACAAAGGAGTGAAAATAAATTAATTTAAAAAAAATTACTTTAATAATCCAAAATAGGGTGTAATGTTTTAAGGGAATATATATATGGGTTTTATTTTGCAATATCAATAATTTATTTAGAAATAATATTTTCCTGCAAGTAATCCAACACATAAATAATTAACTAATAGCCACAGACATACATGGTTATAAAGAGAGAAAGGAATAAAAATACTAAAATTACTTGGGTTACTATGCTGCAGAGTACAGAATTGAATCATATCATACAGTAAATTCAATAGTTAGTCTGTGATGCCTTTTGGGAATGCACTGCAGCTAGTAGACTGGTAGGAATATTTGCCTTAAGCTACGTAGATTTGTCAGAGCTAAAATGTTTTTCAGAGTTTGTTCAGTTTGGATGAAGTTTTCATCTGGTAGTACTTTAAGGTCCAAGGCTCTTTGGTCAGGAAAGAGAGGCCCAGATTGAAAGATCGGGTTTCTAATCCAAGTCAGCCATTTCAATACAAGTCCATGTTGCAAATGTGTTCAAAATGTTTTGTTTCCATCCTAGTTCACTGAGTCTCAGCCCCTGAGGCACCCAACAATATGGTGTGGCCCAACATGTAGAACTTGTGGCAAAGTTATGATTTGCTTCCATGCTTGCTTGAGTACCTAATACAATGCATGCCCCGATGCAAATCCTTATCTAGTTCTGACCATTTACAGCCATTCCTGCAGCACAGAATGCAATCTAAGTTTTACCACTGACTGCAATGGAGACAGAACTAAGCTCTCTTAAGTCTGCTGTGGCTTTTTTTTACCATAACTATTAACTGACACAGATGGTGGTGAATGTAGTAACAAGCAGAATGCAAATATAATTTTGTTCAATTTATATGGCAATGTAGCCTCATATTTTTTAATTTATTACTTTAATTTTTGGAGCATCCTTGAAAATAGAGAGAGCTACAAGCAACCCCTAACGCCAGTATTTCCAGTCTGTAGTAATGTCAGAGCACAGTCCACAATCAAGGTTTGTAAATTCTTTGACATTCTTTTGTTCCTACAACTGAATTCGCATGCAAGCTATTCAGTCATTTCAATGCTTTTGACTCCAAAATGACTCTTCAGCTGAAATGCTGTCAGCAGAAATATCAAAGCAAAACTCATCTGACATCTCTGTTAGCCAATGGTGTCACTAAGAAAGAGACTCAGAAAAGGTCTTCCACATTCCCTTCTCTAAAAGTAAAGCAGAAGTTTGCAATTTCATTGAATTTTTATTGCATGATTTGTGTACTTCTTGCAAGGCAGCCGCAAATACCGCAGTCTAGGAAAAGAAATGGAGGTCTCATCTGGTGATGGCAGAGGATTACTGGATCAACAAGAATCTTTTTGTTCAGAAGCCAGGAGATTAATTTACTGCCTTGAGTAGTGGGAGGGAAGGGGAAGGTGCAGTGCATGCTACAAAGGCTGTTGCTTCTCACCAGTTTTGCTCCTGCTTGAGGGAATGTAACTGAATGAGCACTGACTTCTACTTATGCCTCTTGTATATTCCAGTATGTCTGAAGTAGAAAGGATTTGCTAGTTCTGGAAAAAAAATCAGAGACATTTTTGGTTTATTGCAGCTTTCCACCAGCTTACTGTGACTATCAGATTCACATCCAGGCATTTAATATTTTCTTTGCACCCTTATTGTGCCAAACTTAATTTAAAGGTAAAACAGTGCCTGAGTCCACACAAGTGCACAAAGGTAGAAGGAGAAGAATGGAGATTCCCAGATGGGACCAGATGCAATCATACTGGAAAGACGCTGATAACCCCAAGTATTACTATTGATGCTATCAAACTAGAAGGGAGAAAAGCAAAATATTCAGCAGTGCTGGCCAGCATGGTAGCAAGGAACAAGGTGCAAGGGTTGCTGCATATGAACACTGAAAACTTGGAAAAAAGTGCAAGACAATGGCTGGGGTAAGACTGGGTTGTGGTAACAAGACTGCCACAAGAAAATCAAACTCTGCTAATGGCTTGCAACCCATTAAGTGCTGAGACAATGGAGCTCGAGGTACCCAATACCAGATCTATGTCATAAAATAATAAAAGTGATGGTTAAAACTGTTGGCAGAGACCACCACTCGTGTGTATTTCCAAGTTAAAAAGGCACTAAAAAGAAGGTAAGCCAGCAAAACTAAAAGCAAGGAAACTACATGTGCATTTTAATTGACCTAGCAACTAAAGACGACAAAAGATTAAATATACACAGGGATGACCTGAGCAGGGTGTGGGGCTCGGGGCAAATCAGCCTGTCAAGTGGCCAGGCATGAAGTGGGCGGCAGTGCGGTCACCACACAGTTCCATCTGGATCCGTGGGGCCCCTGGCGGTTGCCCCAATTCAGCCTCTCCCCCCTGCCCCCTCAGCCCCCAGTACAGCCCTGAATATACATTTCAAGCAAAACCTGTAAAAGATGCATTGAATACAGGAAAAATATCCTGTACATGACATCCTCACATTTCTCAAAACAGGCATCCATTGTCTAAGGTATTACAAATGTCTCAATCATTCAGCGTATGTCTGGAGCTTTGTAAATATACCATTGCAAATTTTCCCCATTGATAAACAAATACCAAAAGACAGGTCTGGTATCCAATGTCTCTAAGCATCCTGTTAGACCACTCAAAATCCATCACCTGTTATTAACCTATAATTGCGGTGGCTGTGAGAAACAGAAGTATTCACACCTAAACAAATCCAAAAAGAGGAGCCAGGCAATTTAACAATTGTAATATGATGGTCACCCTTTTCCTCCCTGTTTTGTTCAGACTTTTAATTGGACAACCATCATTGTTTATGGTAAGGGTTGCTAAAATATGGAATGGGCTTCCAAGGGAGGTGGTGCTTTCCCCTCTCCTGGAGGTGTTCAAGAGGAGATTAGACAGGCATCTGGCTGGGTTTACCTAACCCCAGTGCTCTTTCCTGCCTGGAGCACGGGGTCAGACCCAATGATCTACCAGGTCCCTTCCAACTCTAGACATCTATGAAATCTATGAAATTAAGGAAAAATGCTTCGAGACTATACAACTAAACAGTATAAGAACTAAGCAGCGTTGCCAGTAAGGTGTGTGTAGTCTGGAGAAGACCAAGAAGCCATCCTGCCACCCAGCTGACAAACGAAGGATCCATGCTGTGAGGCTGTACAAGAACTGCTTCCTGCCTGCCTTGGGCAAAGATCTCTTTGCAGCTAAGATAATACTAGGACTAATAACTCATTTTATATTGGGAAAATTCTTTTTCTGTCATGTAGTTTTGTAGCTTGTTGGTACTTATTAAAGCAAACCTTTGTGCTATTCATCAACCAAGTGTTGTGTCAATTCTTAGAGCACTAGGTTTAAAACTCGTTTTTAAGTGCAACAGGTGGTATAGCTGCTGTTCCACCATACGGTCCCAATGGATCTTAGAAAAGTATTCTATCTGAGTTAGCCCTGATTCATACTTGGGAATCCTGCTGCAGCATAGTTCTACATTGCCCTTTCCCAGTATGCTCAATGCTGTAAAAGCCAGAATCCAGTGCTGAATATTTTCCTACTTTTTTCTTTCTAAATCCCAAAGCAAAAAACCTCAGCCTGACTTCAGCTCTCTGAATCTCACTTAACTTCAATGATTTCAGCATAGACATTGTGATTCACAGTGCTGAGAATAAAAGCCAGCATGCAACTTTTAGCCAATTCAGAGGCCCTGTGTTGGCTTGGAAACAGTATTTAAAGGTCTGTTTCTTTGGGAATTGACAAGCTTGACTGTGTTATGTGTAGTGATTGCATTTTGTTGTGTTTTTAAAATGCTATTGCTATAAGTGATTGTGATATCAACTGTGCTAGGCTATGAAATCAAAGCTTCTTGATAGGCTATGAAATACCCGCAGAGTGGCTACAAGAAATGGTGCATTGCCTCCAAGGCCTCACAGGGTTTAGCCATGCCAAAGATTGAGACGGCTGGATTGATTGTTTGTTTTATTGTTATCCTTTTTTTTTCTTTCTTTTTTGTTTTGTTTGTGCTAGATGTATATTTTAGCTTTGTGTTGTGGTAATAGTAATGTAATGTAGTTTGTTTAATTCCCAAAATTTGTGCAGAGATTGGGAACACAGAGTGAAAAGATGGGATCCTAAGGAAGACCAAGTCTAGTCCTTCCTGTGCAGACTGTGGAGGGCCAGTAGGGGGTGCTCCTGTGATGAGCCATTCACTTCATTGCACCCAACCACCTTCCAGGCTCTGAGTGCCTCCCTGGGGGTGCCTCCTGTCTGGCTGACCCTCTTTCCTGGAGCACATCCACTAGCCTGGGGGTAACGCCACCACCACCTGGGGTCTGGAGTGATCCTGGCTCTGTGTCCCCTAGGAAACACAGGCCTAGTAGCCTTTGAGGGTACTTGATTCACTTCAAGAACTTGGGATGCTTCCCTTAGTCGGAAGCACAAATAGTGGTCTCCCTTAGTCAGCCGAACCAAGGGGACCCCAAGGCATAATCTAGCCCCTCTCCCAGTAAGTTTCCCATGCTAGCTACAAAGGAGAACTTTATTGGCTACAAGGAGTAGGTTTAGAATAGGGTACAGGGTAGAGTAATATCAGGGAAATCCCATAGAGCAAACAGGGTGGCTGGGTAGCCTTTGATCATGCATCTGAGTTACTGCAAGCTATATATCTAGTTAGATCTCAGGTAGCTTACTCACAAGTATCATCCAGAGGCATGTGGAGATTCTCTCTAGAGGCAGACAGTTCATTGATCATGAGTTTCAAAAGAGAGTAAGTTTCAGATGGTCCAGCTTCTCTCTAATCATCATGGCTACTGCTCCTCGCTCCTGGGCAGTCCTTAACTCATATAGACCTTATGACCTCATTTACCTGGCCCAATGGAGGCCAGCACCTGTTGGCTGTTAGCCAACACATTTGAAATGCATCACTGGTTGTCAGGTAGACTGGCATTGCTTAGAACAATAGGGAGCCTAAGCCCCTCACCCAGGTATGTGATGCCAGTTATGTAGGTAGAGGGAGCAGGTTTCCCCCCTCCCTGAGGAACGTATCCAGCTCAGGTTACAACTCAGAGTCACCTGAGAAAGGGGGAGGAGGAGTCTGCCCTTTGCAGTGTCCATGTTAACCAAATTGTCACATAGCACAGTTTTTGGGGAGAGACAGAGGTGGCATTCTGTCTCACACACATTATGCCTGCCTGTCTGGTTTCCATGGCTGGTTGGGAAAATCCTAACCCTTGGCATTTCTCCAGTCTTTTACAGGATAGAGGGGCACTGGTAGTACTATGATGCCACCAGGCATTCAGTTGCTATAATAAGAAAGGATTGCCTAGTATAAAGTTGCCAAGGACATGTCTGGTCCCCAGATCCTGACCACAGAATGTTTTTTTCTGGTCTGAATATTCATTTTGACAATTGAATAAGACACTGACTGCAGAGCAACATGGTATCTGAAATGCTGAGTAAAAGGTTTGGTAGGCATCTTGGGCTGTACATTCCCTGGTCCCAGTATGGGAAGCTTGTTCAAACTTAATTGGCTAAAACTTGGTTGCTGGGCTAGGGAATGCTGAGGCAAGAGGCCGAGTCAGAGGGGGTATGGGTGACATTTGAACAATGGTTAAGGGTTCATCACAGCGTCCAGCCTGTTGAAGCCCCTGACAATAAATGCTGTCATACTTTTCCCAGGATGACTGGTGGAGGTCCTTTCCACAAATCGCATGGACATTCCAGGTGATGCCAGCGATTATGCTCCAATATAGTGTGAAAGTGTCGTACCTTCAAGGAGAGGAATATGTTGGCTTGGAAACGGTATTTAAAAGTCTGGGTTTTTGGGAACTGATTTATAGGTATATGCATTATAAGGGTTCAAGATGGGCAGCAGGGGTTAAATGGATTTCTAAAGAGCTTGGGAGACACACGCACAGCTTCTTATGGCTCTGCAAACAGATGTGCTGTCTAGCACAACAAGGCCAATGGGTGGACACAGCCTGAGAACTGAGGAGGGCATGCCATAACACAAGGTCACAGCCTTCAAGGCAGACAAGTTGTCTAACACAATAAGAACACACAGGCTGGGAACTGATGAAGTATATGCCATATTATCCCATAACACAAAATAAGTGACACCAGCTACAGGGCCTCACAGCAGGGCGGGGGCCGAATCCCAGTTTTGAGGGAACAGACCAAATTAGGAGAAGGCCAGAAGACTATGTGGATGTGTGACCACAGAGAGACAGCCAACCAGAGATAGCCATGAATGAAGAATTGGTCAACCATCATTAGTCAACCTGAGCCATCAGGGGGGAAGAAGAATACAAAAGCAGAGACTTGAGATTAACAAAGGGTCCCTTCCTGTCCTTCCTTCTCTTCTTCCTTGTCCCTCCCTGCCCTGCTCCCTGAGAGGGGTCCCCATCCCCATCCCCCAGGAAGGGTCCCCAAGGCCACCATGGACTGGGAGCATATCAACAGCCCATCTCATGCACCCCACTGGAGGGGGGGGCTTTGGGCCTCAGCATTCTACCTCCAGACTGCTGACATCCAAGAGAGGGAGCCTCAGAGTGAAGCCTGCATCCTGACCAGATGTACTTTGATTCTAATGACAGCCCAAGGATTGGTAGATATATGATTGTTTTATTGTTTGTATTGTTGTTTTTCTGTTATCATTCTGCATCTATAAATTCACCTATTAACAACTGGCTGGTCTTGTGGTCAGTCTGAGGGTTGTGCTTGCCCGGAACAAAGGTATAAGGGCTTGGTCCAAATCCAGTGACAACACCTGTAGTAGGCTGAATTGCCAATATAGCATACTCCAAAGTTCTCCTAACCCACCTGGCAGTGAAGTCTGAATGCTCACTACAAATGCAGGGCATAGTTGCTGAAATACGTAACGGTCAGTAGAATATAGCCCCTGGCCTTTAACTTCCCCTTCTGTGACTCTCAGGTTTGTTTCCACAAAACCCAGAGCAATTTTGCTGGCACAAGCTTTACTAAGATCACACAAAATTATTTCCATTTTGCATTTTCCAAGAGGTTTTTCTTCTTACTGTATGCTATATGCTGAAGAACTTATTCTTTAGGGATATATTTTGCCATTTGACT